TGTATGAGTGTACACATATCACAGCAACTGCATCTGAACCATAAATATGTATTTGATATTTGTGTCTGCAGAATCGAGCTATTAGCTCTTGGACCCCGCCTTTCTAGCTAATTTATTTTTCGTCTATTATATCTATTACATATATTTCTAACACACACACACACACACACAATTCTGGAGTATGCAGCCCCAGCATGGTGTCCATATCTAGTCAAGGATAAGACTAAACTGGAAAAGGTTCAAAGATTTGCCACCAGACTAGTACCTGAGCTGAGAGGTATGAGCTACGAGGAGAGACTGCGGGAATTGAACCTCACTTCGCTGGAAGACAGAAGAGTTAGGGGGGACATGATCACTACATTCAAGATTCTCAAGGAATTGATAGGGTAGATAAAGACAGGCTATTAAACACAAGGGGACACAGGTGGAAACTGAGCGCCCAAATGAGCCACAGAGATATTAGAAAGAACTTTTTTAGTGTCAGAGTGGTTGACAAATGGAATGCATTAGAAAGTGATGTGGTGGAGGCTGACTCCATACACAGTTTCAAGTGTAGATATGATAGAGCCCAATAGGCTCAGGAATCTGTACACCAGTTGATTGACGGTTGAGAGGCGGGACCAAAGAGCCAGAGCTCAACCCCCGCAAACACAACTAGGTGAGTACACACACAAACACATCCCCAGGAAGCAGCCCGTAGCAGCTGTCTAACTCCCAGGTACCTAATTACTGCTAGGTGAACAGACGCACCAGGTGAAAGAAACTCTGCCCATTTGTTTCTGGCTCTGCTGGGGATCGAATCCGGGCCCTTAGAACTACGACCCCAGAGCGCTGTCCACACAGCCGCGGGTTATGTGTGTGTCTGTGTACTAACCTAGTTGTACTCACCTAGTTGTGCTTGCGGGGGGTTGAGCTCTGGCTCTTTGGTCCCGCCTCTCAACTGTCAATCAACTGGTGTACAGATTCCTGAGCCTATTGGGCTCTGTCATATCTACACTTGAAACTGTGTATGGTGTCAGCCTCCACCACATCACTGCCTAATGCATTCCACCTGTTAACTACTCTGAAGCTGAAAAAGTTCTTTCTAACGTCCCTGTGGCTCATTTGGGTACTCAGTTTCCACATGAGTCCCCTTGTTCGCGTACCCCCCGTGTTAAATAGTTTATCCTTATCAACCCTGTCAATTCCTGAGAATTTTGAAGGTGGTGATCATGTCTCCCCTTATTCTTCTGTCTTCCAGTGTCGTAAGTTGCATTTCCCGCAGCCTTTCCTCGTAACTCATGCCTCTTAGTTCTGGGACTAGTTTAGTGGCATACCTTTGGACTTTTTCCAGCTTCGTCTTGTGCTTGACAAGGTACGGGCTCCATGCTGGGGCCGCATACTCCAGGATTGGTCTTACATATGTGGTATACAAGATTCTGAATGATTCCTTACACAGGTTCCTGAAGGCTGTTCTGGTGTTAGCCAGCCTTGCATACGCCGCAGACGTAATTATTTTTATGTGGGCTTCAGGAGACAGGTTTGGTGTGATATCAACTCTTAGTTCTTTCTCTCTGTCCGTTTCATTAGGTATTTCATCTCCTATTTATCTCCTATTCTGTGTCTGGCCTCCTGTTTCCACCGCCTAGTTTCATTACTTTGCATTTACCCGGGTTGAACTTCAACAGCCATTTGTTGGACCATTCATTCAGTCTGTTTCGGTCATCTTGTAGCCTCCTACTATCATCCTCTGTTTCAATCCTCCTCATAATTTTTTGCACCATCAGCAAACATTGAGAGAAATGAGTCTATACCCTCTGGGAAATCATTTACATATATCAGAAACAGTATAGATTCAAGGACTGGCCCCTGCGGGACTCCACTTGTAACGTCTCGCCAATCTGAGACCTCACCCCTCACATTAACTCGTTGTCTCCTGTTGCTTAGGTACTCCTTTATCCAATGGAGTACCTTCCTTTTCACTCCAGCCTACATCTCCAGATTTTTCACTTGCCTCTTGTGTGGTACTGTATCAAAGGCTTTCTGGCCTTGTGAGTGTGTGTGTGTGTGTGTGTGTGTGTGTGTGTGTGTGTGTGTGTGTGTGTGTGTGGCTCTCAGCACTACAAGGTAACAACAGTGCACTGAAAAGGCACGCTCGTCGCCCTCTCCAGATGGTTTATTTTGTCAAGCTCCACCACCCGCTACCTGACCCACGTAGCCTAAAGTAACGCGCACATGCAGTTGCAGCCTGCAACTTATGCCACGGCTAAGTATTCCTTCTAACGTCTTGCAGGCAAGCACTATAGTAGCTGTCATGAGGTAAACCTGGCATGCTGGGAGAGGAGTTTACCCCAGTAATGTCAGGGAATGGTGTATGTGTGCGTGTGTGGGGGAGGGGAGGGGGGGAGGGATACACTAGGCTAGGGAACGCGGGGCTCCACGTTATCGATGCATAGCCCAACAGCGGCGTTGTTCCTGCACCCACCTAGCGCTTGCCTGACTTGTGTCCCCCAAGAGGAGAGCTACGCCACAGCTGCCTGCTGGAGGGTAGGTAAGGGGGCTGGCCCTCATAACAGTTTATGAACCCCTAACTTCATCAACCCTTCCTCCCTACCCCTCTTCCCCCCCCCCCCCCCTGCCCCCACCCCTCCTACCTCAAACATCATGGGCAAACTGGGTAAGTGTTTGGGAAAGCCTTTCCTCTTACCCGATGCATCGACAGTGGAGCTGGTGGAGACTCTAATTCCCCAGCACAAATATTAACTGCAGACACAATGTTCAGGTAACTCACCTTGTCCAGCGCAAGCGGAAGCATCCATGAGAACGGTGAAGCCCATTAATCTTCTTCAAATGATGAGGAGGTAGATATCTTACTTACCTTTCACATCATCAAAACATATATAGCTCGATGTTTGTCCCTTATACAAAAATACTAATGTTAGTGTCACGTCAGCTTTCCCTTCATTCAATAATATATACTTCAGATTAGTAGTAATATAAGTTAATTTCCGACTATTATTACTATTATTGAAATTGGACATGCAGTTCCATTTTTACCAATAATACACACCAACAATTAATCCCAGAACAACATTTGAATATAACCTTGTTATACTCAACAATAGGTGAGCTCATTCTATCAAACCTGAACCGTGCAATATTACACAGGGAATAAAATACAGAGATTAAGGCTCTCCTGCCAAGAGAATCGCCATGGAATAACACAATTAGTGCGTGGCTGAAGCTTTACTGCTCCAAGTTGCTAGCAAAAGGTAATTGTGTAAAGAGCTCACGTTTAAGGGCTTGCAAATTCTGATACATACACACTGCACCAGCCCCAATATCCTTGCCCCAGTAAGCCTTAAGTGCTGCACATGTGATAATAAATACCGACATGGAGGAGAGGAGAGGAGAGGAGAGGAGAGGAGAGGAGAGGAGAGGAGAGAGAGCTCTGGTACTGGGCCATGAGTGAGACATTAGAACACAAACTCCAGCATTAAATTGTTACCACCCCTCCTGTGGTCACCTATATCCCAATTCAGGCGGCCCAATTAAGTGATCCACGCACAGTTGATAACCCAGGAGGTAGGGAGAAGGGGGAAGAGGGAGAGAGGAGGGGAAGGGGGCAAGAGAGAGCGAGGGGTGAGGGACGGAAGAGGGGGCAGGGAGGGGAGGGAAATGATAGGAGGGGACAGCGCAATACTAAGTGATAAGTCCGTAATTAAGAGTCCCCCCCCCCTCGCCAAATCAATTACAAATAAGCTCACGATATACACACACTGAAATCACATGCAGTGGGACTTCGATCCCACTGCATATGCCCACGGGATGTGTATGAGGTGCACAATAAATAAATAAGTAAAAAATAAAAAAATATCCTCAGTACTTTCTCGAGGTATATCTTGAAATGCATCTTTGGTGCTTATAAATGTTGCTCAGATCACAAGGAATCACTTCAAGATACTTTTCTCCACCCCGGAAGGTACCTTGTATTGGTATGCATGGAGCAGGGGATTGGGGGGGGGGGGGAGGGAAGGGGAGTATTTTGTACTGGTATTCACGGAGCGTAAGGTTAGGGGGAGGGGGTAGGTGGGGGGATGGGGAGGGGGGTAGGGAGGCATGCTCTCACAACCTAAAGCAGATATACAAGGCCTCGCTCCTTCATTCAGTGTGCCACAACTCTTCAGCACAAGATAAAATGGGTTGAGGAATGCCGCCGCGGCACCGCCCCGGACCCACAACCCGGAGACACGCTTCACTCACCCTCACGGCCGCATATCAAATGGAATATGGAAGTAACTTGCTTTCTTAGCTGCAGATAATAATTAGCCATTGCATTACAAGTGAAAAATTGGGGATATTATTAAAGTTGAAACGTGAATGACTCAAAATGATTCAATGTTAGTATAAGTTATTAGGAGTATAATGAGGGGTTATTAATACGATTATGTATTAGCAGCAGCGGCCATTATACGCTACTGGGTTATGAAAAGAATTTGTAGGTAGGGAACTGTCCAGTTGTCTGAGGGGAGAGTGCCTATCCTCGCCAGCTTGAAGTAGAGGGGCGTGTGTCCCTGCTAGGGGCGTGCGTGTGCCACCCTGCTAGGAGCGTGCGTGTGTCCTTGCTAGGGGCGTGCGTGTCCCTGCTAGGGGCGTGCGTGTGCCTCCCTGCTAGGGGCGTGCGTGTGCCTCCGTGCTTGGGGGCGCGTGTGGGTCTGTCAGTGATGCTGCTGGCCTCTGATAATCAATGACCAGTTGCCTCAACACAAAGCATAAATCTCATCAACTATATTACCTGCATTTAATCACTCTGATGTTTCACAGCATGCAACAATTGACTCTTACCGACTTGAATTGGAAACAAAAACCTGCAGCAGGCAACAGCCGCACGATCCCCAACAGGAGTCAACGGTACCTACTGTTAATTTAAAATTGTGAAAAAGCAAATTTTGACTTAAAATTTGCTTTTAATTGAAAATAAAAAGCATGCTAAAAAAAAGCTATTGAACGTGATTTTATTTCGGCCATAACAGACGTATGGCTCAACGTACCTGACTGGCGATCATGTTCTGAGTGCGGGCGACGCCGTCGGCTCCAGTGTACACCAGCTCGCGGAACTGTCCAGCAAACCTGGGCTCGAGGGTGACGACCGGCAGGGTGAGCCTGGAGCCCACCTCCCGGGCCACCAGGAGCGGCAGGCCCCCGAGGTACACGAAGGAGTTAGTGTCCGGGGACCCGAACTCGTGGTTGAGGGCCTTGATGACGCGGGTTTCCGTCACTCCGTCAACGGTGAGGTGTGTTCGGTCGTGGCGACGCGACACCTTGACCCGGTGCCACGAGCCGTCGTTGAGGGCGCGCCCTACCGTCAACAGCCGCGCGCCTCCTCCCATATTGTAGTGCAGGCGCACCGAGCCTTCTACCAGTTTCAACTCAAAAAACTCGTAAGAGCCGCCATCGTCCGTGTACAAGAGTAGGCCGTTAGGCTCCAGAGTTAAAAATTCAAACTCGAGCGAGCCGTTAGCGCCGGGCATCCATCGTGGGAACTGGGCGAAGGAGGATGGGGATCCCTCCAGCAGGAAGCCACTAACGGCACGCAGGACGACCAGTGCCACCGCCAGGCACCAACACAACCACCCCTTGGCACCCATGGCGACACACTAAACACTGATATAACAACTTCTCGCTGGTGGGGTCGAACACTCACTGACCTAGCATGGTCACACTGGAGGCGAGGCAGCAGCAGCAGCAGCAGCAGCAGCGGCGGCAGCGAGGGTGACACTCACACTGGCACTGAACGCGGACGGAGCGGCGGCAGCGGCACCGATGTGGACGGGCGCCCTCACTACACTGCCCCGCCACCTGCCTGCTCCTCCAGCACTACCACCTCTCACCACGCCTCCTCCCGCGCACCTCCTCCACCACCTCCTCCTCATCCTCCACCATCTCTTCCTCCCACTCTCAACTTTGCCTCATATTCTCCCCTCCACAACCCTCTCCTCCACTACCTTATGCTCCTCACTTCATTGTCGCTAGCCTCATACGCCAGTGAAGCATAAAGTGATCCACTTCACCTCCTGGTCACTACTGTTGCCTCATACCCTGATGAAGCCACCTCATACCCTGATGAAGCCAGCTCATACCCTGATGAAGTCACCTCATACCCTGATGAAGTCACCTCATACCCTGATGAAGCCACCTCATACCCTGATGAAGCCACCTCATACCCTGATGGAGCCACCTCATACCCTGATGAAGTCGCCTCATACCCTGATGAAGACACCTCATTATCAAAAGTCTAAACTACGTATCATTGTGATATATTATTTGGCTTCGTCGGAAGACTCGTGTAGTTGGAGGCACCAAGTTCTCAAGTAACAGTCGGGGACCCAAGCACTTGGACGTCTAGCCCAAGTGGTTGGGCTGGACGGTAGAACGTTCATCTATCCTGTTAGATAATTCAGAGTAATACTGTGTGTATATATTAACAAACAGATTAGACAAGGTACAAACCACAATAGCGCGGGAAATGACATTTCTGTCATTTGGATCAAGAGAGAAGAGAACTCTTGTCACAACGGTCTCCTTGCAACCCGTCCTCTTAAAAATAACGTCACTTTTGAGGTATTTCTTCCGATATAACTTCTGTTATTAGACAAAATATTTGCATTAACTGCTATCCATATAGTTTCTGCGTGGCTCAGTTTTTATTTCCTGTTTAACACTACAGTTCGATTTTCTCACACATAGTTTTCTACTCCACCTTCTTGTTCGATTATTCTATCAATGTGAAATAATTTGTAACCCTTGATTTTGAATGATGTTAAATTAATATGTCAGTTTTCTGCATTTATCCATGTTTCTCTTAATGCAATAATATATATTATGTTCACACACAAGTGCACTTAATTATTTTATGTTATTTATAATGCCCTCGCCATTTGTGTAGTATGTTTATGCTTGTGTCTTTCAATTGTTTCCACTTTTGTCTTGAATATAACAGCAAAAATACCTATTTTTTTTGTTAACCTTTTCCCTCCATTTTCCTAGCTCTGTTATGTTTACAATTGTCTCCCTCCAGTACAAACCCAGACCCCTACCATGTTATCAATTACTTATTTGTTAATATATACATGTGCATGTATTACATTCAAGTACTTTCACACATATTACAGTCAGGTAAATGTGCACGTGTTTCAGCCAAGGACACGTGGACATACTTCAGCCGAGGACACGTGGACATACTTCAGCCGAGGACACGTGGACATACTTCAGCCGAGGACATGTGGACATACTTCAGCCGAGGACACGTGGACATACTTCAGCCGAGGACATGTGGACATACTTCAGCCGAGGACACGTGGACATACTTCAGCCGAGGACATGTGGACATACTTCAGCCGAGGACACGTGGACATACTTCAGCCGAGGACATGTGGACATACTTCAGCCGAGGACATGTGGACATACTTCAGCCGAGGACATGTGGACATACTTCAGCCGAGGACACGTGGACATACTTCAGCCGAGGACATGTGGCCATACTTCAGCCGAGGACACGTGGACATACTTCAGCCAAGGACATGTGGACATACTTCAGCCAAGGACATGTGGACATACTTCAGCCAAGGACACGAGGACATACTTCAGCCAAGGACATGTGGACATACTTCAGCCAAGGACATGTGGACATACTTCAGCCAAGGACATGTGGACATACTTCAGCCAAGGACATGTGGACATACTTCAGCCAAGGACATGTGGACATACTTCAGCCAAGGACATGTGGACATACTTCAGCCAAGGACATGTGGACATACTTCAGCCAAGGACATGTGGACATACTTCAGCCAAGGACACGAGGACATACTTCAGCCAAGGACACGAGGACATACTTCAGCCAAGGACATGTGCACGTACATCAACACTGCACATGATGGATGAGCTAAATTACAGCATTATGAATGACACTGAACGCAAACATTAGAGAAAAATGCAGCAATATTATCCAACATTACACGCTATTTGGCCATCGTTCAGAATTATAAGCTCTCTCATGAGGTCAACCTTGAGTGTCTTCCTCCGTACCGTTGCAAGAATTAGGGCGTCCTGGCCTACAAGCACACCCAAGGCCACCATGACTCGACGGATAGCCAGTCTTACCTGAGTGGCTGTCTTGCTCCAAGTGCAAGATTGACCTTGAGTGGGTATCAAGAATAGGACGCGTTCCATCACAGTTATGGCCTACCTCGGGATCTGACAAGATATCAATCTACGTAATAATTGAATAGACGCCGGAACAAAAGTGAACTTCTCCGAGAACAAATTAGCTACGTTCCTGCAAGAAGTGTCGGACGAGCCTGGTTGTAGTGAATATGTGGCCGCTCCAAGCAACAGTCTACTGGGTCAAGCTCTCACAAGTCGAGCCTGACCCCAGACCAGCCTTGCAGAGCAGAACTACCGGAACGCACTTCATGTATGATCCAGGTATGCATTCAGATTACAATTTTGTAAAAAAAAGAAATCAGATTACAGTTTTGTACAAAAAATATTATATAATACAATAGCAGTTATATAGAGTATATAAAAACCAATTATTAACGGCGCTAGACGCAACGTTCACAATCACTTTCCTTCACCTTCACGTCGTTCGTAAAGCACTCCATTAGGAAAATTAAGTTAGGTTAAATAGCTTAGCTCTAAGTTAGTACCATAGTAGACAGTAGACAAAAGATGGCAGTTCGTCCACCCACCCAACACGTCGCATTTTAAACGGAATCGACTAATCCGATAAACATTAGACGTGTTAGTGCAAACTGAAGTAACATCACATTTATGTATTCCAAGCTCCGGCCTCGATGGGTTAGGTGGGCTGCATGGGTGTGTGTGTGTGTGTGTGTTTCTGGTTAGATAAAAACAGTTGCAATTTTTACGGAGTGGCAAAGAGAGAGAGAGAGAGAGAGAGAGAGAACACGCTCCCCCACGTAATGCTCACTGTATTTGAACAGTTTTCGGCCAGAATGTCTACATTACGTTATGTTCGGTTGTAACACGTTATCCTGTATCCAGATTCAACCCGTCCTCGACTCAAGTCCATTACATCCAGCGGTCGACCCCACAGACGCATTCATAAATTTTAATATGCTGTTCATTCAAAACGGGAATTTTCTCAAGTATAAATTACTATTATAATATATTAGCATATTGTGCATATATAGGCATAGGTTAGGTTAGGTGTTTAGGTTCTGTTGGCGATTATTTGTATTTGTAGTACGTGCGTGAAGCATTTATAGCGTTGTGATTCGAACAAAATTCGTCAGTGAAGCACTTGTTCCGGATATGTTCGAACGTCAGCAGTTGTGAGTCGTGTGTAAACCGCTTTTCATTCATAAACAGGGGGTTTGGCGGGTGCATGGAATCACTTTTGGATCTTTGTTTGGAGGACGGGCTGCCAGATTACATAACGCCCTATGGGCCGGTGTTCACATGAACCGAACCGCACATATCGGGATTTCTTGAGTGCTCAGTACTGGTGCATCGTCACACTTTGCACCAGCGTGTTGCATATTCCAGGATTGATTTTTTATATTTTTTTTATATTTTTTTTTATTATTTTCTACCACAGACGTGGCCACACATTTACAATGCTAAGCAGCATATATACATTTTCTTCTGTCCTCCATGGATCTGACATATGTGGTGTACAAAGTTCTAAATAATTCCTTCCACAAATTTCTGAAAGCAGTTCTGATATTGGCCAGCCTCGCAAACGCCGCTGATGATGTCCTTTTGATGTGGGCTTCAGCAGACAGGTTCGGAGTGTTATCAACTCTGTATGTTCCTCTTGGTCCTTCTCTCTGTCCGTTTCATGGAGGACTTCGTCTCCATTTGGTACCTTGTGTCTGGCTTCCTGCTCCCTCCACCTTGCTTCATTACTTTACATTTACTTGCGTTAAACTCTTGTAGCCATTTGTCGGACCATCCCTTCAGTTTGTCCAGGTCACCTTGTAGCTTCTTACTATCTTCGTCTTAATCCTTCTCTTAATTTTCGCATCATCAGTAAACACTGACAGGAACGAGTCTATTCCCTCTGTAAGTGGCTTACAGCCTGTAGCCTACTGTGTGACGGTGGCTGTGTTGAGGGTTACAGCCTGTAGCCTACTGTGTGACGGTGGCTGTGTTGAGGGTTACAGCCCTGTAGCCTACTGTGTGACGGTGGCTGTGTTGAGGGTTACAGCCAGTAGCCTACTGTGTGACGGTGGCTGTGTTGAGGGTTACAGCCAGTAGCCTACTGTGTGACGGTGGCTGTGTTGAGGGTTACAGCCTGTAGCCTACTGTGTGACGGTGGCTGTGTTGAGGGTTACAGCCTGTAGCCCACTGTGTAACTGTGGCTGTGTTGAGGGTTACAGCCTGTAGCCTACTGTGTGACGGTGGCTGTGTTGAGGGTTACAGCCTGTAGCCTACTGTGTGACGGTGGCTGTGTAGAGGGTTGCAGCCTGTAGCCTACTGTGTGACGGTGGCTGTGTTGAGGGTTACAGCCTGTAGCCTACTGTGTAACTGTGGCTGTGTTGAGGGTTACAGCCAGTAGCCTACTGTGTGACGGTGGCTGTGTTGAGGGTTACAGCCTGTAGCCTACTGTGTGACGGTGGCTGTGTTGAGGGTTGTAGCCTGTAGCCTACTGTGTGACGGTGGCTGTGTTGAGGGTTACAGCCAGTAGCCTACTGTGTGACGGTGGCTGTGTTGAGGGTTACAGCCAGTAGCCTACTGTGTGACGTAGGGTTGAGGTCAAAACTGAAGGATTACCACAGCAGTTATCTGCACCTGAAGTTTCATTTAGGAATATCTGTGCCATTCTTAATTAACCCAAGCCTTAATTAAGCTACACGAGAGAGAGAGAGAGAGAGAGAGAGAGAGAGAGAGAGAGAGAGAGAGAGAGAGAGAGAGAGAGAGAGAGAGAGAGAGAGAGAGAAGAGAGAGAGAGAGAGAGAGAGGGAGAGAGAGAGAGAGAGTGTGTGTGTGTGTGTAAAAGGCATAAAAGGCAGAGACAGACACAGAGACCAAACGAGACCGAGCGAGCATGTGGGTACGTATGTGTGCGCATGTTAGCGTTTTGGGCCTGTATACATACTTCTACATAGGTGTACACAGGTGTACATAGGTGTACATAGTTCCCAGCTGGACTCCAGCTTCCCAGGAGGTCGCCAGCACAGGCAAACGAAGCAATAGGGGGCCTCACCTTGGAAGTCATTCATAACACAATTTCGTGTTTAAGTTTCAAACGAAAAATTTGACATGTAATATTTTGAGATGGTGTTCCTGATGACATAGAGAGTAGAGGGCATTGTCACGAACAGTTTTGCTATCGAGGAACCAGAAGATTTTGGTGTTAAGGCCCCAATAACAGACACGCATGCATGTCAGTAGCTGCATTAATACGATGAAGTTTGCTTGCATGATATCATCCGGATATCATCCGGATATCATCCGGGTCTGTAACTCATAAATGACCTCCTTCCACCAAAACTATGCCCAAATGCAGGTTTTACTTTTGTACGAGAATAGCTTCAAAAATTATGTATAATTTATGTGTTTCCTATGTGCAAAACTGTATATAACTGAGGAGAGGAAAGATGGCACTCAATGGTGTCTTAACATTACTGCCGTCGGCGCGTGTCACGCCACGTGACTAAGACAACAACAACAACAACAGGTGACATTATGGGAAGCTGTCGTACGTAGAAAGGTGAC